ACGGCGTCTCTCATAATCATATGGTGGTTTGGGACGTTAAACCCCTCATATCAATCAATCATCAATCATCGCATAAGGCAAGAAGTGCACGTTCAAAAAATGGTGGTGGAAAATTCAGCAAATCCCACGTACCGGCATTATGCCAAACAGGAGTATGGAAGGTCAACATGTTTTTTTTTTTTTGTGACACGTTAAAAATTGACGCCAAGTATAGGCATAACTGTTACACGCCAAAACATCTTTTAAAGAACTGCAGATTTTTATATAACCACTTGTTTGCACTTGCGCAACGATGCCAACAGGAACAAGAATATTAGCAACACCACAAGCGATAAGCGATATGAAGCGCAGGTGCACGCGAGGATGGTAGCCCTGACCACTGCTACATAAATAATCCTCAGCGCACGCGGCCCAACTATATTGACATTAACGCGGCGTGAGAGCTTTCTCAAAACAATACATATGTAAGCTTAATGAAACTAGATAGCCGGCACTACATGCACAATTGACACTTTACGAACATTAGTTGAAACGCAGTTGAAACGAGGCGTGGCATGGCTGTGTAGTAGAATGAATGCTTGATTAACCACAAAATGCTTGGGTTTTATTCCTGCTGGGACCCTGGAGTTTATTCTTTATATTCTTGGAGTCAACGCTGCGCATGCCGGGTTTTCTTGTCGCTCACGCGTTAAAATTACCCAAGGGCTATGGGCGTTTTCATCATTCCCGGGCATATACGAAGTTTTAATCACATGTGGCATATACCCGCACACCATAGGCACATACCCGCCCGCAGGTTCATGCCTCTGTCTGGCGGAAAGCGCCTGACGACGTACGCAACGGGATTGCGACATTACTCCCGTAATAGCCAGCGCGTCAAATTTGTGTTATGATCTTACCCTTCCATACTAATTTGGTTCACGCCAGGTTAAGGGGCTAGTCACGGGAGCACCCAGACGTAAGCGGCAGAATAGATAGATAGATAGATAGATAGATAGATAGATAGATAGATAGATAGATAGATAGATAGATAGATAGATAGATAGATAGATAGATAGATAGATAGATAGATAGATAAATAGATAGATAGATAGATAGATAGATAGATAGATAGATAGATAGATAGATAGATAGATAGATAGATAGATAGATAGATAGATAGATAGATAGATAGATAGATAGATAGATAGATAGATAGATAGATAGATAGATAGATAGATAGATAGATAGTCTGTGACGGCCTGTGCTTCGAGAACGACCGCTGTGATGAACGCATTGCAAAACGCATTTAACCTTTCGTTACACTTTTCCATAACCCTGAACATGCACAATATGCAGCATTTGAAATAAACAATGTGGTTAACACAAGCCAGATATTTATCTGACCTCATTAAGAAGCACAAACATGTAACCTATAACTGTTCAAGGCTTCAGTGCCATGTCGGGTTGAACCCACTGCTAAACACCGGGACCACAGGTTTGAGCTTTTTTTTTTTTTATTGATATGATATATAAGTAGATGTTGGCGCACAAGTGTGGCGCCGGCTACTCCTTAGCTCTTGAACACGTATCTTGAAAGAAAACATACGAAAACATTGCATGGAAGATAAAACACTCGAGCACACATATGCGAAAACGCGTATTGACATATCACAACACAACGACGAGGAAATGTTCAAAAGTCAACGAATGAAGTCTCTGATAATGTCCCTCCTTAATATCTGATCCAATCAGCACAAAAACAGCAGAGCACACGTCTGGTCTTCATGAGGATGTATTCGCTCGTGTGTACAAAGCAGTCGACACGTCCTTCACGTCAGCACACACACATATGATGGGTGTCATATGATACTGCACATATCAGGTACATGAGTTATGCAAATGAAAGAACGTTATTTCTTAGTACTTGTCAGTGATTACGTTGTCTTGTAAGAAACGTGTAAGCGCTTTTAAAGCGCGAGTCTGTAAGACTCCACTTGGCCACGGGCCCAGAAGTTTCTTTATTGTAAATGGTCCGTGGTCTAATGCCAACAGTTCCGATTTGAGATGGCGTCTCAGCATGTCATGGTGCGGACAGTCTATGAGAAGGTGGCATACGTCTCTATCAATAAATCCACATTCGCATTCGGGAGTTTTAGCTCTGCGAATTCTATGCAAAAAATGTTTTGTGTATGCGGTGCCTAACCTCAACCGATGAATAAGATTTTCCATACTTCTATCTAATGCTAGCGTAATTTTGAATTCACTGAATGGATCAGTGTGATATCAATCACAGCTCTTTGTACTTTGGTCAAACCAAGCAGTTTCGCTCATTCTGAAAGTTGTAGCCTTTATACACTACGCAATTCATTTTTCGAAATTGGTAAAGAAACAGTAACATTTTTACGATGAGCTTGTCGTGCCGCTTCATCGGCCGCTGTGTTTCCAGGAATGTTGCAATGGCCAGGTATCCACTGAAATTTAATCTCATGTTGCGCCTTGCTTGCTTTGGTGAGCTCTTTCGGCATGTCGTATGTGATACTATCACTAATTGCTATCGTGTTTGTACTAGAGAGTGATCTTAAAGCGGCCTGTTAATCGCTGAAAAGTACACATTTGCTCGCGTCTACTGCCGAGTTTATAAACTTTACAGCATACAGAATAGCGAAAAATTCAGCTGTAGTAGATGACGTCGTCCGTCATAATTTAAATGATTTCTGAATATTGAGCTGTGGTAAAATAAATGCTGATGTTGAAGACGTTGTAATACTTGAGCCATCTGTATAAACGTGTATGTAACCTGCGTACCGCATGTGTATCTGATAAAGCGCTAGTTGTTGAGCAGCTTGGAACAACATGTCTCTCTTTCTGATAATGTCATCTACTGATAACTCAATGCTTGGTATTGTAAGCAGCCATGGATGACAGTCCACTTCGGAGCTACAAAATTCATTTCTTGGTAATATATATAGATTACTGTGTATTTCTTCATGAACATTGCTTTCATCCCTTTGTAATATCTCCAGTACCAATGTGTGGTCTTTGTGTTGCGCCTGTAGGCGAAAAAAATGGTGGCATGTTTCGATTGCTCTCATGACTGGAAAGGGTGGTTGTCGAGTCTCTGCTATGACAAGGCTGCTGGAAGTCGCTCGTGGAACACCTAGGCAGACGCACAGTCCCCTAACTAATAGTCTCTGAAGTCGCTCCTCTGAAGTTTTGCTTTCACTGGTTGGCCATTTGTACTGAGTGCTTGTGCGTTGATAATAATAATAATAATAATAATAATAACAATAATAATAATAATAATAATAATAATAATAATAATAATAATAATAATAATAATAATAATACTCTTTCTCTCATCATTATGACTATTATTAGTGACAATAATAATATTATTAAAATGCATTTTAGTTCTTCAAGTAAAAAAGTACATGTAGCTAAGCCTGTCAAAGCTAGTAGCTTTCATGAGTAGCAAATCTCAAAAGGCAGCAAAAGAAACCGAACGCGTTGCACCGTTGCAGTTCATTGCATAAGAACGATGACAGGACAAAATAATAGTCACACATCTGATTAGTAGCAACGGGGCATACAAGCGATGTTAATTAAAGATGCATAGTAGTTCACTTTGTTGGAAAAAATCCAAGAGTGATCGGTGCAGAGGAGCGTGTGTTGAGCGCGTCAAGTGAAGTGGTCGACCAGTGTTATAGTCGAGGCCATGCGGGTGGTGGGTCTTGTGAATTCCCCAGAAGGTCATCTCTGCGACTGGGGCAACACAGCGGCGGACGTACGTACGTACGTACGTAGAGCCCGGGTGTCAAGGCGGCACCGACGCCAACGAGTTTCGCTGGCTCTTGCGATGCTTCTTCATGAGTTTTATCGTCTCTTTATTGATCATAGATTTCGTTTTCAGTTAGTTGCCAAGAGCATGCTGCACAGCTCTAAAACGAACAAATAAATACGTGTAGGATTAATAATCCTCGATTGCACAAACATACGAGGTGGTGACAAAAAAAAAAACACCAGAAAAAGAGCGCGAGATGGAGCCCTTCTAATGATTCACACAACGAACGCCCCCAAGAAACGGGCGTTTGTTGTATCGAACAAACCCTCAGTGTATGGCGTTTAATGCCATCCGAGTTGCTCTCGCTCGCTGGATTCCGTGCCGACCGGTTGTGCCCTCGCGATTTCCGACGTCAGCGTAGCTCTGGCCGACTGGGCCGGCCTTACGTCATCTCCTGACGCCGACGTCCGACGACAGCGTAGCTCTGCCCTATAGGACTTGCCCTACGCGATCTCCTGACGCCGACAAGAGCTCTCGCAAGTGGTGCCCCTCGGACTCCTGTGACCGTGTTTCCATCTTTTCTATCTCTCCTTTCCATTCGATATCTCCTTGCTCGCTGGCTTAGCGCATCTCTCTTTCTCTCTCTCTACACCTTTATTCCCATCCTTTTAATTCCTCCTCACCCGCATCCCTTGTGAGCTACTGTTGAGGTGTCACACTCTGGTGCAGACAGTTACGGGGCTCACTTTTCTCTTCTTTTCCCTCTTAGAACCACTCCAGTTGCTGCAATGCGCATTGTTCATATTCCAACAAACAAGGAAGCCTTCCATAACGAGGGCACGTTCTCCCCAATGAGGCGCCTCACCAGAGTTGTGCGAGGGCCTAAGTCTGCACACAGAGGCTCATGGGAATGGCACTATCCTCCTTTCAACCACTGACGCACGCATCTGACACTGATTCGAAATGCGCTAGAGTGAATGAGGTGTCACCATGAGTGCGGGCGGGGTTCGCTAGATGGCGCAGATGCCGGAAAAGAAAGGTCAATATGAAGGTGACCGATAGCCGGTGACTACAAATGCGTGCCTACGAAAATATCAGCATGTGGACAAACAGAACGGCGAAACTTATCTATGGAGCGATCCGTCCGGCAGAATGGCTCGCGATGGCATAGCACGAGGCGTGCACAAAGCCGCGCAAGTAATGGTCTATAAAGCACCATGGTGATGACGCCACCTACCTCTAGGTCCTTACACATCCTTCGGCCGTGCGGTCTGGGGTCGACGAAGGCGTGCGGAGGGAGCGAGCGTACGAGGAGCTCCGCCGACTCGGCCAGCCGTCGGATTTGGGCCTCGACCAGCACAGGCGTGGGCGGCGTCAACGGGCGCCCGCCAGTTTCCGACGAATCCCCGCCGGAACCCAGCATACCCTGCGTTGTGTGCATGCCGAAGGGCGTCCACTTGTGTAATACCAATAATTGAAATCTGATGAAGCGATTAAACAGTTATCACGCCACTCGAGCGAAAGCGCATGAAAACTTTCCAACCATACGATAACGCAATTATAGCACAAGCCCTATTTTCTTTTCCACTATCGACATGATTCCGTTAAAGATAATAACGAACCATGTGCAACTGAGACTAGTTCAAAGTCTACGAACCTACAAGCTTCACATAACCCTAAAACAAATGGTGCATTTTTTAATGTCCTAGCGCAATTTAAAGATGGGGAACGCGGCTATCTGGCTGCATCCCGGAATCTATGCGGATTGTTGCATGTTCTCACACAAAAAGGGGAGAAAGCGAGCGACACGCGAACAAATACAAGCGCGCGAAGCACAATGCTTTCAAGAGATGTCAGAGCGATACATTCCAGATTTTGTGGTCGCGACACTTGGCTCGTTGCAGCTGCACCTGGTTTAACTCTACACTGGATTGCTTTCGCGCTTTGAGTGTTCCACTGGCCTCGCTAACTGCGCTGGCAGAACAACGCGTCCGAATGTGTCAAGAAGGTATATCTGCCCAGGAGGGTAGAAATCGTTAAAAAAAAAATGGGTGAAGCATTCCACCACTGTTTTCCGCAACAGTGAGAGACAGAAGGGCCTAACTGAGCCGATTCACCACCTTGGTTGCCGTTGAGCACACTTGAAAAGCCGCCAGAATTCAAGCTGAATGTAGCCTAAACAACCAGGGCATTCCTCATTATCACAAAATTTGTAGCCTAATAGAAAAAAGTATTATGACTACAGTTTCAAAGGCTCAAAGTGACTTTGAATATGAAAAACAAAAAAATAGTCTTCAATCTCCACCTGCGATAAAAAAATTATTTATTTTGTATACATTTATTCAGCAGATTATTTATTTAACGCCAGGCCATGAACATTGCCGTAGAGCGCCGATAAAACACAAACAGAGAAGTAATAAAATGCGGTGAGTATAACAAACACCGCGCGCGCGCGTGAAAAGACTTCCAACAGGCCAGCACTTGTGCAAAGGTGCCTCACGAAAAGTATAATTATTGGCAAGAAAGGTAACAGCTCTTGTTTGTAAGCGGTAGAAAAGATTCCAGTTTTACCAAATGAAGTGCCTATATCCATCCTCACAGCAGCGACCACAGCTATGGAACACATAATGCAGTGATGAAATAAGTGTGTCGAAAATGTTGCTACCGTGCTATAAAATATTTGGCTAGCAGTGCAATTTCAGTTAAAAAGAATATTACATTATACCTGTTTATGTTACACACACACACACACACACACACACACACACACACACACACATATATATATATATATATATATATATATATATATATATATATATTATATATATATATATATATATATATATATATATATATATATATATATATATATATATATATATATATTTGAAGGTAGCAGGTTTCGTTCCTGCCCACGGAAAGTTATCTTTTCACCCACTTTTCTTTCTTCGCATTTACCTTACAATTCGGTCTAATAACTTCCTTCACACTCTTCTTGGCATTAATGTCGGACAGATTTCATTATTATTGTGTCAAAACACGGAAAAACGAGCCCTTAAGTATAAACTTCGTTTCCTTATTGATTAACGAGGGTCTCGCACTGGCAGACTTGGTGCCTTAGATTGTATACGAGTGACTATTGGTCAGCTGCCAGCTCGTAATACTTTCACGTGCTACGTGACGCCGCACAGACTCAAAAAGAGTGTGCCACACTCACCGCCATGGCTACAGATGGCGCTGACGGACACTCCCACGTCTAGATTCACAGATATACCCATTAAAGTGGCTGGGGAGAATGGCCGCCGTGGTAGCTCAGTGGTAGAGCATTGAACGCATTATTCGGAGGTTGCAGGTTCGGTTCCTGCCTACGGCAAGTTATCTTTTCGCCCACTGTTCTTTCAGGCGGAAATGTCGTAGGCCCATGTGCTCAGATTTGGGTGCACGTTAAAAAACCCCAGGTGGTCTAAATTTCCGGAGCCCTCCACTACGGCATCTCTCATAATGATATGGTGGTTTGGGGACGTTAAACCCCACATATCATCATCCACTGTTCTTTCTTCGCATATACCTTACTATTCGGTTTAATAAACTCCCCTATACTTTACTTGGCATTATTGTCGGTTAGATTTCCATATTATATATATATAAATATGCGTGCGTGCGTGCGCGCGCGCGCGCGCGCGCGCGTGTGTGTGTGTGTGTGTGTGTGTGTGTGTGTGTGTGTGTGTGTGTGTGTGTGTGTGTGTGTGTGTGTGTGTGTGACGCTATGATGAGATGTGGCCTGGCTCATAACCCATGTTTAATTCATAGCATGCGCACTTCCTCCTTTTCGGCTTCTACGAGTCACCACTGCGTAGCTTCTTACGTCACAGGATTCCCCCTCCCCCCGAAAGTATGCGCGTGTTATAAGCAACAAAAGACGAAGAATCCGAGTCAGTAAGCGGAAAATGTCCAAACACGACGTAACTTCTTATGACAAGGCAGTTCGGTAAACTGGCACACACAGACAAATTCACGGGAGATGGTAGCAGTTCGGTCACATCAGCGAGAACTCTGGTGGGCGAGGCTGGCTGTTGCGTTCGGGGAAGCATAAGCATGTTATGAGCGTAGAAACCAACGAAAATAGCTGCCATTATTGCGAGAAATGGACCACGTTTGAAGGCCTTGCAGTAGATTGGTCTTCGTAGGCGTCGCTGTCTTTCCTGCGTGCGTGCTCGTTGTAGTAAACTAATGGGATGGTGCCTGAATCTTTGCGCGGTAGAACTGGTGACTTCTTGTCTTGTTGGGTGTTTCCTGAGGTTTCGGAGCTGTACCTTTAGGCGCAGTCTTGATCTCTTGTGCCAAATGCGTTTTTGGCGCCGATCCCTTATGCGAAGATGCCTCGCTTCTTGAATTTGTTTTAAGAGGCTTGCTTTGCGTCGTCGTCCTTGTTGGTGTGTCCGTTGGAGTTTCTGAGATTCACGGACTTGCTTTTGCTGGCGTTGCTGATGTTGCTGTGGGCCGTATTGTGGTGGAAGCCCTTCTAGAACATCGCGCTGGTTTTTATGACAACCTCTTGGGGTGTCCAGTCGGTAGCTGGTAGTCTGTGAGCTGTTGTCATGCAGTTCGGGCAATGAAGATGATGCTTCAGAGTTGATAGAAAGTTCTTTAGAAGCTTTTGCTACACTGTTCACTACGAGAGGCTCTTGCGTATGGCAGCGTGCGTCGTTCAATACGTCTGAGCCTTCGGTGTTGCTTCGACCGTCGAGTGTGTATGCACCAGACGGTGATGCATAAACCCGTGCGGAAGGAGCATGACTTGACTGGGTATTTTCTCGGTTTGTCAACTCATCTATTGTGAATACGGTGTTCTTACGAGGCAAACGGTGAGCGTCAGGAGCACTTGAAGAGCCGCGTGATGGAAAACCGGGTGGTGGACCACGTATACGAGACGAAGAATGAAGTGCATGAGGTGGGTAAGCAAAGTCTTGTGTCGTGTGCTGGAGCGACGACTTTGAAAATACCAGCTTTCTTTCGTGAAGAGAAACCTGGTGGAAAGCTATGCTCCTTGAGAAATAAGCGTGGACTGTGACGGCTGAGTGTGCTGGTATGCAGGTGGTCGGTAATGAGGAAGTCCTTGCCGTAGTCGTTAAAACGAGCAATCATCTCTTCTCTGATCTTTTGCCATGATTCATCGTTTTCAAATATATGTGTCACGTAAAACATAATGCCTCACCGGAATTGTAGTCAGTGAAGTTGGTGATCATCTCCCGTTTCGGCTATAACGCAACGGTAGCGTGGAGCTCGAACAGGTCGAACCAGTCCTGTACAGGTCCATCGTCCGCTGCTCCAGTGTACTTGGTGATGGGAAAGTCAGTCGATGGTTGCAACGGTGTTCAGTGGCGATGCACTTCTGTGGTTCGCGTTCGGTCACGGCATCTCGCTGAGGTCTTTGATGATGATGGCCGGCTGATGAAGTCGTAGCGATGTCTTCATCCTGTCGACTCGTGTGACGCTATGATGACTGGGAGATGTGGCCTGGCTCATACCCCATGTTTATTCCATAGCATGCGCACTTCCTCCTTCTGGGCTTCTACTAGCCACCACTGCATAGCTTCTTACGTCCCCATTATATATATATATATTCGTATAGCAAAGAAGACGCACGTACGAAGTTATTTTATTGACGTTTCGGCCGTGGGTCCGGCCTTCATCAGAATACAGTTTATGGCACGAGTGCTGTTTATATACATGTGCTGCATATCAGTAAGATACAAATGTCAAAACCGACATGAAAGGCTATATATGGGCATATATATATATATATATATATATATATATATATATATATATATATATATATAATATATATATAATATATATATATATATATATATATATATATATATATATATGCAAGTCACACATATAAAGAGCACCTAATCTACGAGTAAAAAGATATTGCTTCCATGCGCGAGCACGTTGTTTACAAATAAAAGATGAAACGCATAAAAGATAAAGCACATAACATGAAGAGTAGTCCGACCGGTTTTCTCTTTCTCCTTGCTTTTTTCTCTTGCTTTTATCGGTCGGACTACTCTTCATGTTATGTGCTTTATCTTTCATGCGTTTCATCTTTTATTGTAAACAACGTGCTCGTGCATGGAAGCAATATCTTTTTACTCGTAGATTAGGTGCTCTTTATATTGTGTGACTTACATATATATATATATATATATATATATATGTATATATATATATATATATATATATATATATGCCCATATATTGCCTTTCATGTCGGTTTTGACATTTGTATCTTACTGATATGCAGCACATGTATATAAACAGCACTCGTGCCATAAACTGTATTCTGATGAAGGCCGGACCCACGGCCGAAACGTCAATAAAATAACTTCGTACGTGCGTCTTCTTTGCTATACG